CAAGAAGCGGTAGAGCTTCACCAGAACCTTCAAGTAGACGTTGTCGCTCTTGGGAGCCTTGCGGTGGCTGCTCCGCACATGGTGGCGGTCCAGGTCGATACCTGCGATTTATGAATTGTTAGTGGAATGGACTGAGAACAAGAAAAAAAAGCAAAGGTTTCGAATGAACGCTGCGAGATGCGATAGTCGAGTGAATGGAGATGATTGAACATACCCATGGCTGTGTATTGGTCGACTTCCCGGGAAATAGCTTGCTGTCGCACCCGTATGGAAAGTGCAGGAGGTTTTTGATCCTTGACTTTCGGCTGGACAGTGGTGTGTGGGTTTAGCCCTACGCTAGACTTGACTGGGAAAGGCGAGGCACATGACCTGACTATGGCCACGTGACCTTGTGGTTTTTTTTCGTTCTGGTTTGCCACCAGGTCACGTGGTAAATGGGTCTCGTTGCATCTAGCCCTGGAGGAGAGAATTAGCAACTACGGGTTACTCCGTACAATGTGCCTTAACCTCTGCTATGGAGTATGCATCCATATCCATATTTATATCTAGTTATCTATGACATTTTTGTGTACTCTTGTTCATGTACATCTGCATTATGTATAACCAAATATTCCGAATAGTAATGAAAAGAAATATCTACGTACATACATATTATTTGAACTATTCTTTATCATTCAAACGGACAAAGAAATCACGAGTCATTTCAAAACTCAACCAACTGCTGGCCATACTGGGAGCAACCTTTAAAAGATTTGGCCCTATCCCCTTAAACAGTCCACGTAGTCCCTCTTCAGCCACGATGACCCTCACGGCATCCCAGATTGAAGTGTATTGGTAACCCATTCCCGACATTGTGTTGATTTGGAATCGTCGACGTAGCACATCACTAAGGAACAAGTCAGTTTCACAGTGCTTAAGCCAATAGAATAAAAGAACCGACAAAGGATAGGTACAGGTCTGAGCGACTGCTCCAGAGATCGCGCCGGCCAGTAATTTTCGATAGGAGCTAGGGTTTTTGTCCCCGTCTGGTGTTAGATACTTGCGAACCGATTCATAGGTCATAAAATTGAGTCCCACCTGTCGCTTGTCAGTTGTGACCAAGTCAAAGTAACTTGATAAACTCACATATGGGGCTACTCCAGCAACAGTGGGTGCAATTCCACGGTATAAAGCCTTTGTCCCACCTTCAGTTTTATAGATCATGGCCATTGTGGCGAACATGCCTGGCAGTTTTTGGCTTGGGTCTCTTGCTCCAAGATCGGCAAATGAAGCGGATTGAATGGAAAGCCGGGTTCGAACAATGTCCAGAGGATAGGTGATAGTCACCGAGGTGATGCCGGCAACACCTCCGCAAACAAGGCGACGCATCGGGGTCATCTCACCATCGGGAGACTCTACAAACTGGATCAAAGAAATGTTAGGTTGCCTCTAGCCTTGGTTCTGCAGGGATAGGAAGCCACTCACTTGCTTGTAAAAATTATAGCTCCCAAACTGCACCGCAGAGTAGGGGATAATGCGAATACAGTTTGTTCCATTTCCTCGCATGAAGCCACGCCAGCCTTCTTCCCGCCCCATCTTCACCAATGCTTTCCAGATTGACAATCTGTATTCTGTTCGACCGACACTTTGAATTTGAAGAAGAATTTTCAATCGTTCGAGTGGTGATACTATTGTCCTGGAAACTGCACCAGCTACTCCACCAGCCATAAATGCAGCCACCACAGGTTCGGCGAGGGTTTTTCTAGTACGAACCAACACCGAGGGAGTTTTCTCATTGGTCACATCCTGCATTAAACAACCAGTCAGTCTCCCAGTTCATATTTGGGGGGGGGTCTCCTTCTCACCCTGGCTGGAGTTGAACCAGAGGGAAACTTGGGCAGATTCTGCAAAGCAGGCTTTCCTGTACCCTTCAGCTCCTCTTTCCGAATAGCATCCTGGCGATCTAGGCTCATGTTGACGATATGCACCTCCGGTTACGTGGATAAGGTTGATAAAGCAGTCCTTTGTGTTTTGCTGTGTAATGATTTCCCGCAATTCTTTGAATCAGAAAAATGAAACTTGACTGTTGTTGCAAATCAAATGCGATGAAGCACTCTGGGTGTAGTGCTAGCCATGAAGGTTGGTTGTTTTTCGAGGCTTGGTGATCTAAAAGCACATCATTGATCTTGTGTTCAGTGGATTGTTTATTTCAATGGCCATATGACTGAGGTATAAAGGGCGATGTTGGTAGTGGCTTTGCCAAAAAGAAAAAGAGAGAAGCAAGCTCAAAAAGAAAGGGCTTTGCTATGATCAGATAGGTTATTGGGCTGGAGTTGCTGCTTTTCCTCTTCAATGTAAGAGATGTAGTTGGACGGGCGAAAAGAGACAAGAGATAAGAGACAAGAAACAAGAAAGAGGAAACAAAAAGAAAAAAAAGGTCTCACAGATCAGTGAGTTTGGTGTGTATAGCTGAAGAGTCTCAAAGGAGAGAGAAAGAGAAGAACATCCCGACTTACCGACAGACACGGTACCTCCCGATAGTCCCGCCACTTATATTACGTACCTTGGGGTCCACGGGTACTCCGTACATAACTAACTATAACTAGTTAACTACTCCGTGGTTGGTATATAGACTTATAGACAAAAAGATAAACCAAATTTGATTGATTATTTGAAAAAAAAAAAAAGTATATATATATATATATCAATATCAATATCAATAAATAAAATGTACATTTCTAAATTATATACTCCGTATACCATATTCTTATCATAAAATTAAAAGGAAAAGAGAAGAAAAGAACAGAAAAACCAAAATCAATTGCGTCATTGGCATGTTTGATCCACCGTAGCACCTTCATCACTAATTCTTTCTGTGCTCTCCAGCGCTCTCTCTCTTTCCTTATACTCTTTATCCTCTTGAAGCTTCCCAAGCTCCACCTCTCCTTTCAAATCTCTTCTTCTTCCCAACTGACCCAGTCTTCTTTCATTTCCATTGCTCTGTGCTAACGGCACCATGTCTTCTCGCTCTGGAACTACTCTGTATGTTACCGGGTTTGGCCATGGCACCCGTGCTCGCGATCTTGCCTACGAATTCGAACGGTACGTGTCGCCTCTACCTTCGCACCTACGAACTTCGATTCCTATCCTTCCGACGACCTTCCGATGAAGACCTTTGGCACTATATATGCCTTGGACGACACTCTTCTTTTCTTCTTCCAACTAGCGTGACATTGGCGTGGAAGCTTCTGTCTACATTGCCCCGTCTCACTCGGGAAACTGTTAGCTAGTCTTGGTCATTCCTCATCATAATTTCTCTCGATACCGGTACCTGGAGCTAGCTCAACTGATTTTGGAACTAGTTATGGGCGTCTTGTTCGCTGTGATATCCCTGCCCCGCGCACTCCCTCCAGCCGACTGTGAGTTAAATGATACTGCCTGAAACCGCTTTACCTGTCTAATCTAAATCGCTTAGCTTTGCCTTTGTTGAATACGAGAGTCGCCGCGATGCTGATGATGCTTACCATGAGATGCACAACAAGCGTATCGGCCGTGATGATTTGCTGAAGATTGAGGTAGGCATACTCTCCCCACCCGCAAAGCTTTGTTAAATCTCTTCTAACCCATCTCCAGTGGGCACGCACTCCTCCCTCTGCTTCCTGGCGCTTTGACTCTGGCTCTGGTCGTGACGCACCCCGTGATGCCGGCCGCGATGCCGGCCGTGATCGTCGCCGTGATCGCACCCCTCCTCGCCGTGGTCGTTCTCCATCCCCTCGTCGCAGCCGTGGTGGCGACTATTCCCCCCGTCGAGAGGACCGCTATGAACGGGACGCTGACCGTACCGACCGCGATTACGACCGCCGCGACCGTGATTCTGACCGCCGTGACCGTGACCACGATCGACGTGATCGCGATCGTTCTCGCGACCGTTCCCGCAGCCCCGATGACCGCGAACGTGATGGCAAGGATGACCGGGAGAGACGCGATGATGATCGCGAGCGTCGTGAGGAGGATCGTGAGAATGGCCCCAACGGTGAGGACAGGAAAGGTCAGTTGCCTCGGAATCCCATGAAGCGTTATTTTCACTCACATACAGCAGTACCCCTGGACCCAGTGCCCTCTGCTCATGATGAGCTTGATACTGCTGAGTAGATCAACTCAGTATTACGTTCCTTCGCTTGCGACCCATGTCTCCCGTCGTCATTCTGTTTTCGTCTACTGAAGGTGTCCTTCATTGCGGTTGTGCCAACTAAGGGGGGAAGACAAGGTTATCGCCCCAGTATTGCTTTTAATACATCCTGTGGCATATCTCGTCTCTTCCCCCGCCCTTTGCCTCTGTGTTTCTGATTTCAAACGGCGTGAAGCTTGCTCATCGGTACAAGCTGGGGCCAAGTGAACGTGTGACCCCTGTTTTCCCTGACTTTTTTTTCAATTTTGCTTTTCCCCGAGTTATTCCCAATATTTTTTTTTATTTGAGGTTGGTAAATTTATCCTGGTCAGCAGCTCGGATCCCACCGAAGCGAACGTCGAACGATCGTTCCAAGTCCGCGCCCAAATACCACGATGAATTCCGTTTCGCCCTCCGTCTTGTTCGCAATTTAATTTGAAAGCGGTTATTTCAATCCCCTCGCCCTCTCCGACCGGTCGCCATCCTCTAAACGCTGTAGTGCCTTTTAGTTGTATGTGAGGTCAATGCTGTTGGGGATCGGTTTTTTTAAGGCATCATTTCTACAGCTTTGTTAATAACCAAAATCAATACTAAAAAAAGCAACAGCATTTCTTAGAACCCGCATTTTGAAAGTTGCCCATATCATAGCCATGACGTAGGGGATTTGCGGGGGAGAGTCTCATCAACCTTGGCATATCAAAGTAATCCAGACAAACCTTGGAAGTCTCGTACTTTATTCAACTTTCAACTACTTTCTACTATGGGTACTATAGGTTCAGCAAAACATACAGGAATCAGCATTGCAATTGATGTATTAACCTTCCTCCCCCACCTACTTATCCAGAAGACTGACATGACAAAGAGAGGCGGGACATTTACGGATTGCGTCGGGAATCCAGGGACGGGTCGCTTGGAAGATGACGTTGTGATTAAACTGCTCTCAGAAGACCCCAACAACTACAAAGATGCACCTTTGGAAGGGATTCGGCGCATTCTTTCCAAGTTCACAGGCCATGAAATCCCTCGTGGGCAACCTATCGATACTTCTTTGATCCAAAGCATCCGCATGGGCACAACTGTGGCAACCAACGCGCTGCTCGAACGGAAGGGGGAGAAGGTAGCGCTGGTGGTAAGCAAGGGCTTCAAAGACTGCCTCGAGATTGGAAATCAGTCTCGTCCCAGAATATTTGACCTTGCCGTCAAACGCCCCGATGTCCTGTACGAGGAGGTGATGGAGGTGGACGAGCGTGTCACTTTGGAAGACTATGTAGAAGATCCGCAACGAAACACCACAGCCACTACTATCCGGGAACAGACCCGGGCAGAAGATGACGTTGTTCGCGGTCTTTCTTCGGAAGCGGTTCGCATTCTGAAGCGTCCATCTGAGGACTTGGTGAGATCCCAGTTGAAAGAGGTATACAACCGTGGGATTAGAAGCATAGCGGTATGTCTTATTCATGGGTATACCTTTCCAGACCATGAGGCACTGGTGGGAAGAATTGCCAAGGATATTGGTTTCCACCATGTGAGTTTAAGCCACCAGCTCCTGCCGATGATTAAACTTGTGCCGAGGGCCACTTCAGCCTGCGCCGACGCATATTTGACCCCTGCCATCAAGAAGTATATCTCTGGATTTCAAGCCGGATTTGAGGGTGGTATAGGTAGTGAGAGTGTCAAACAACAGGCGGGATCCAAAAGCGCACGCTGTGAATTCATGCAATCAGACGGGGGCCTTGTGGATGTCAATCAATTTTCAGGCCTACGGGCAATTCTTTCGGGGCCTGCGGGTGGAGTGGTGGGATATGCGTTGACCTCCTATGATCCTGAGTCGAAGACACCTGTAATAGGGTTTGATATGGGAGGGACGAGCACGGATGTTAGCAGGTATGGATCCGGCCGGTATGAACATGTCTTTGAGACAACCACCGCTGGAGTGACAATCCAATCCCCTCAATTGGATATCAACACTGTTGCTGCAGGTGGCGGCTCGAGATTATTTTACCGTAATGGTCTCTTCGTCGTCGGACCTGAGTCAGCAGGAGCTCAGCCAGGGCCCGCGTGCTATCGCAAGAGTGGACCCCTTACAGTAACCGATGCCAACCTGTTCCTTGGGCGATTGGTCCCAGACTTCTTTCCGAATATTTTCGGCTCAGATGAAAGCCAGGGGCTGGATGAACAGGTCAGCCGGGTGTTGTTCGAGGAGCTAACCAAAGAAATCAACCAGCAGTTGGCCGAAGGGGGTCAAAGCCGAGAAATGTCCCCTGACGAGGTTGCCTTTGGTTTCATCAAGGTAGCCAATGAGACAATGACCCGGCCCATTCGATCTCTCACAGAGGCCAAGGGACATGACACCTCAAAGCACAGGTTGGCTACATTTGGAGGAGCCGGTGGCCAGCATGCCGTTGCCATTGCCGAGAGCCTGGGGATTCGGCAAATTTTGATCCATCGGCATTCCTCGGTGCTCTCGGCATACGGAATGGCATTGGCAGACGTTGTTGATGAAAACCAAGAGCCTGAATCGAAGACCTGGGCTGATGATGGCGCGGAAGGGGTTCGGGATGCACTTGGTTCGAGAATAGAAGACTTAAAAAAACGATCCACGCAGAGGTTGCGAGACCAAGGCTTTGACGGTAATTCAATCGTATTTGAAGAATACCTCAATATGCGATACCGGGGCACGGAATCTGCCTTGATGGTACTTAAACCCAGCAAAGAAGAGGCCGATATTCACTTTGGGGGCGACGAATGGGCCTTTGGGAAGGCATTTATGAAGCAACACGATCAAGAGTTTGGTTTTACTCTCCCAGATCGGGATATCATTGTGGATGACGTACGGGTAAGAGGAATCGGGAAAGGATTCAAAATATCTGAAAAGTCTGTGGACCGGCAGGTCCGGGAGTCCAACCCAAAGGACGTTTTGGTGGGCCAAGAATATCGCAGATCTCTTGTCTACTTCGAGGGTGGCCGACGTGAAACGCCAATCTACAAACTCGACGATTTGAAAGTTGATGAGCGAGTGAGAGGCCCGGCGATTTTAGCCGATGACACCCAGACAATCGTGGTGACCCCAGGAGCATCAGCGCTCTTGACAAAAACCCACGTTGTCATCAATATTGGTGAATCCGATGCCAGCCAGTCAAATATTGGCACTGACAATGTGGATCCTATCCTTTTAAGCGTCTTCTCACACAGATTCATGGCTATTGCCGAGCAAATGGGGCGTGCTTTACAGAAGACAAGTGTAAGTACCAATGTAAAGGAGCGACTTGACTATTCCTGCGCATTGTTTGACGCAGAAGGCGGGCTTGTTGCGAATGCACCGCATTTGCCCGTCCATCTCGGTAGCATGTCAACCTGTGTACGGATACAGGCCCAGATCTGGCAAGATAAACTAAAGCCAGGAGATGTAATCGTGTCAAATCACCCGGAATTTGGGGGAACTCATCTCCCAGATATCACAGTCCTCCAACCTGCTTTTAGCCAGGGAAAGATCATATTCTACGTCGCCTCTAGGGCCCATCATGGTAAGGCGTTTCCCCAGAGGAAGAAGATGAGAGGGGCGGGGGCAAGGAACAGATATTCTGACCTGTATGAAGCCGACATTGGAGGAATCCTCCCCGGATCTATGCCACCTCATTCAAAGGAACTTTACCAGGAAGGCGCAGCCATCAAAAGCGAAAAATTGGTATCCGAAGGCAAGTTTGACGAGGAGCGCATCACAGAATTGCTATACAACGAGCCGGCCCAGTATCCAAACTGCAGTGGGACTCGATGCCTAGCAGATAACTTGAATGATCTCAAAGCTCAGATTGCTGCGAATAAGAAGGGTATCAACTTGATCGGCACTCTAATTGAGGAGTATGGTGAGGCCGTTGTGCAGTTCTATATGCACCAGATCCAAGACAACGCAGAGCTCAGCGTGCGAAATCTACTAAAAGATGTGAGCAAGAGATTTGCTGGTCGAGAACTGAGTGCGATTGATTATATGGATGATGGGAGCCCTATTCAATTGAAGATATCAATAGATGGGGACAAAGGAGAGGCAATCTTCGATTTCGAGGGGACAGGCCCAGAAGTATATGGTATGGTCAAGTGACTTTTCAAGAGGAAACTTGGATGTTTATTGAACTGACAATCACAGGCAATATCAATGCACCGGAGGCTGTCACATACTCCGCGATCATCTATTGCCTGCGATGCCTTATTTCAGCAGATATCCCATTGAACCAGGGGTGTTTAAAGCCAATTAACGTTCAAATTCCTCATGGAAGTCTTCTATCCCCCTCGGAATCAGCTGCCGTGGTGGGTGGCAATGTTTTGACGGTAAGAAAAGATAAATACTGAGGTTGATCATGGGCTCATCGTTTTTTCTTTTCTTTCTTTCTCTTCAGAGCCAACGAGTGACCGATGTCGTTTTGAGGTGCTTCCAGGCTTGCGCTGCGTCACAAGGTGATACCAACAATCTCACATTTGGGTTCGGAGGGAATATACCCGGTGAGAAGGAAACTAAAGGGTTTGGTTACTATGAAACCATCGCTGGCGGTAGCGGGGCTGGTCCGACTTGGAAAGGCACTTCAGGGGTTCATACACACATGACTAACACCCGAATCACCGATGCAGAGGTCTTCGAGCGGCGCTACCCTGTGATCCTCCGAGAGTTTAGTCTTCGACCAAATTCAGGAGGAAATGGTCAGCACCGTGGCGGGGACGGCGTTGTGCGAGACATTGAATTCCGTATTCCCGTGCAAGTCTCTATCCTTTCCGAACGGAGAGTCTACCATCCATATGGATTGGGGGGAGGTGAGGACGCCCAGTGTGGTCAGAACATCTGGGTACGCTGTGTGAAAAAGCAAGACGGAGGTTGGGAAAAAGATATATCAACCTCGGCGCGAAGAATTCCGCCCAGATGCAAGCAGGGGAGCGAATAATCATCCGTACACCCGGAGGAGGAGGATGGGGTCAAATTGGAGACCGGAGCCAGCTTCTCCAAGAGAAGGATCATCGTTGTGCTTGGCGAGGGGGTTCTATTGCCAATAATATGGCGACACAAGAGGCGAGTATGTGATATATCGGGAAATTTGGGAGTAAGTCTAGACCTCCATGGTTTGATTCAAACGGTCAAGATCAATTTGAATATGATGAAATTGTAAGGGCCAGTTATGGGCAACGTAAATCAAAGTCTCAATAGTGATTATGCTTCACTCTCCTCATCACTTGTCGCCTCGATATTCTGCTTGGATGGACTTTGGTTATCCGAATGGACCTGTCCTTGCTCTCCTTGACCAGGCTGGCCTCCCTCTGCCGAATAGGCGGGCCGAGGCAGAATTTCCCCATTCTCTTTCAATGCCAGCTCAATCTCAGGTAGAATGGAGACGATGGCAGCGAATTGATCCACGGGCATTGAGATACCCTGGATTGGGGATGGATATTAGCACAGTTTCTTGCAGACTCACTGATCAACTGACCTTTTTTCCTGGCAACTCCTGCCCGTCCTTTTCATAATATTCTCTGACATTCACCTGGGTTTTGCCACGGAAAGAAGATATCGTCACGCGACGCATCTTGGATATTTCCCAATAGCGATCTCCATTAGAGTCGATTTTGGCTTTCGCTGTAGTGTTGACCTTGGCCTTTTTGGAGCGCACGCTATTGTCGGGTTCAGCGCCTGACTCGGATGAGCGCTTCTTGGAAGACATGACTGAGGGATGATCTTGGGAACCTGGATGTAAGGTAAGAGTAAGAGTAAGAAAGTGGGAAGGTTGTAGGCCCAAAACACGAACGCGAAACGCGGACACTCCATCACGTGAAGACAGAATCTATGTATATATCTATCTCTCTTCTCTCTCTATATATATGTCTATCATTGACAGTTCCTACTTGTGGCCTCTCTCATTTATGTCTATCTCAAATCAATATGATCCATTGTATATTAAAGCGTCAACACCCGAAGGCCCTGTAATAGAATCGAGAAGACAAATCCTCGAGCGACACTCTCCACTTGAAGACTATCAAAGATCTTCTCTAGCGCTTCTCGACTAGCAGCCGCTCCCATAACACTCGTTAACGCCTGTGGGATACCTCGCTGCACGAATAGTTTACGTGCAGTATCTCGTAGCCGGATTTTCTCCTCCTCACTTGGTGGAGGGGGCCAGAGTTTAAATTCCTCCTCTGTCGGAAGCGCGTTCTCACGAAGTTTGACGAGATAATCTCCCAGGGCATTGTCTGAAGTGTGGGCTTCTATCATGGAATCTTGCAACAGAGTACGAATAGTTTCCAATGTCGGGCTCCCAGGACGCAGGATATACGATTTAGCAGCATTCAAAAGGGTTCGGCGTATGTTCCACGCAGACGACAAGGTGTACAACTCATTGATAACCGCAAATATCAGCTCTACTGCTATCTGCGTCTCATCAGCTGTGATGGGATTGCCCTGTTTGCGGGGTTGATCAATACTCTGCACAGTCTCTGATCGGCGATGTGATGAGGTTTGATCAATAGTTCCCGCTGCCTGGATGTCAATTTCTGTAGTATGATTGCTGATATCAAGCGAGGTTTTAGAGGGCGAAACTGCTGTGGCCCATGCACCTTGCTCATTCCCAGACGCCTCTCTGGCACTGTCAATCGAAGGCGACTTGGAAATTTCGCCTCCTTGGATTTCCAGGGAGTCACGATGGTACACCACAGCAGGCGCGTCGACGTTTTCGTTGCTTATGCCGGCACTATCACCAAGGTTGGACCGTGTCTGCGACAAACTGGGGCGACTGGAGTTATCAATTTCTGGTTGAATCTGACCAGCAGTGACAGCCGGTTTCTTGTCATTGGCGGCGCCTCCGAATACTCCCGTCATTCCCTCAAAGACGGCTTTACCACCCCCTGCCACTCCCTTGGGTGCATTGGTCAATGCACCCAACACACCCTTGCCCATGTTTTCAAACGCAGTCTGACTAGGGAAAGAGAATACCGGTTTGCTAGGACCGACGGGTTCAGTAGAAGAACCAGCGTCCTTTTCCAAAAACCGGTGCATTCGATCCGTGTCGGCAAGTGACTCGTGTTTCATGGCGTCTTGTAAATACCACTCAAGGTCCCGAGCGAGAGCTTGTCGTGTTTTGCCCTTCCACGTGGGTAGTATGGGGTGTCGCTCCGAAAAACTTGAAATTAGATTCAATCGTGAAACGGTTCCCAGCATCTCGTGAAGAGACTGGAAGTCCGAATATTTGCGAAACACCATCCATCCAGTCGAGCGTGTTGACGCTGGTTCGACCTGTAGTAGATAATCCCACATGGGCCGCGACTTAATTTGGCCCTTTTCATCCCTCGCTCCATCATCATCTACCAACACTTGTGCCCCATGAAGAATCAAAGGTGGCATAGCAGAGTCTTCGGGTAATTTCGGGCTTGGAAGTAATTTCATATCGGACACTGGTCCCTGATCTTCGTGATCTTCGTTTTCATGAGTCGTGTTTGAAGCAATATCAGCCTTTAAAGGGCAATTTTCGTCAATTCGTTTGTCTTGGCGTGGCCGTTCCGGCTCTGAGCTCTGTGTATCATGGGATGCAATCATAGCGCTTAGACGTTTCACCTCTAGAACTGCTTCTTCCTCTGTAGCCCTTGCCACATGTATTGAGTCTCTCTGTGTCAATTTAATGGAGTCCCTCTTCGGGTCTTCTGAAGACCTGGGAGCACCAACGCCCTGGTTCCGTGCACCTTCCACACCTGCGTCGATAGCGTGCATGATTTCAGATTCACCGCCCTGTAGGAGACAGATAATCCATTCATTGATGAATTCAGGACGGGCAAGACTGGTAACAGTGGACCCCAATATCACTCCCGCAAAGACCTCACGGAGGAAGTCCCGTACAGCCAGACAATTGTAGGCCTTGGAATCCAAGAAATTCGCCAGTATATCATCCGCAATCATGCCGAGTTTCTTCTTTTGTTGTTTCTCAGACAAGATATTCGCTAGGCTGCTATCCGGAAATTGTTCAAGGTACTGATCCACGGTTTTTTGGGCTTCCGCCGGGGAGGAGCCCACAGCGGTGAATGCTGCTGCAAGTTCATTCAAGAATACAATGACGATGGATGAGGAGTTGGTGAGAAACTGCAAGAATGTATCCTCTGTTCGTTTCCGCGAAAGGTGCGAGGAGACTGATGTAATGAAATGAGTCAAAATTCTTCGACACGAGCCTGGGAAACTTGATTCGGACGGTAAAAGTGGCTCATACCAATGTCTTTATTTGGGAATAAGCTACTTGCTTCACAGTGGGAGAAGGGGGGTATATATGAAGGATACTTACTTGACATAGTCATCAATGACTGCATCGGTGAGCGCTCTCAGCGCAACAGCGGTGGCCGGTTGGAAGGTAGCATATTCCAAGTCTGCCGAGGACATATCTTCAAGCGTACTTATAGAACCACCATCTCCCCCTTGGATGTCTAAAGCACCAGCCCGTTTCGGCCAGTCCAAAAGCCTATTGGAGACTTCCAGCGCAAGTTCTCTACGCCTGTTGGACTTTTGCGCGTGCGATACTCCGCCTGGGTGTTCGCTATCCGATCCCTCCCAGGATGCGTGCAGGACAACCCCAACAGCCACTCCAATCAGAAGCAGACCGATTCTCCCCAGGACAACGTAGGTGACAAGTGCAAGAAGTGCAAAGACTCCAAGGAGGGTCTCATTGGTTGAGGTTGAGAGAAAATTGAGGATAGCATTGATAGATTCCTTTGAAACTGCTGTATTCGAGATGGGGTCTTGCGTCGGGGGAATATTGTGGTCTTTGCCGGATGGAGATGCTGAAATGACTTGGGAGTCTGTATCACTGAGGCGACTCATATTGAGATATCCCGGATTTGGAGGGTGTCTAGAATAATTATCGGCAACCCTCCATGTCCATCAAACGTGACCTTGTAGATCTGCGTAGACAATTTGACATGGAACAATAAAGGCAAGAGAAGATACGGGGACAGGAACCTTGGAAAATGCTTGGCGTACACCGTTGGCCAGTGCGTACCTCGTACTCGTACTCGATAATTATATAACGGGGTATGCTGTAGTTATATTCCGAACATAGCTTTAGCTATTTGTATATATTGTTATATTGTATGTATCCAATCATGATTTCCTTACAAGCATGAGCTATATAGCAAGGAATCTAAAGCTAAACAGAAAGGAGTTGATCTCCGCTATCCGAGTGAATCTGAGCATTCAAAGAGCATGCGCTTCATGCCAGATGTAAAGAGATTGCGGTTGGAAGAAAAAGAAAAAAGGGAGTTCTCTACAGGGGGATAACACCCTCAAAATCTCATCATGCCAGGACATGATCAGTATGTGGTCCCTAAGCCACAATCACCAATAATACCCTTGTGTTCATTGTCAGGTCGGCGCTCAATTCCGTGGAATCCAAATTATAAATTTCGACCCCATTAAGAAGAAATTCATAGCATGGACGCCATAGAAAAAGAGTACACTCTGAGAGCTTTTCAACCTCATATGTTGAGGTTGGATGGTGATGATGAGAGTTGGACATAGTAGGGACGGACGAAAAGAAGAAAACCGAAAGATTTTGTAGGAGAATTTCGGATTACTTAATACTTAGCCGACCCCTGGACGCTAGTCTCACTTTAGTCAAAGTACTCATTAGTACCTTACTAAGCACTTACTTACTAAGCGCTTTACAGGACTGGGCCAAGCTTGGGAAGTACATCGTCCTTAAAAGACTCTTTGGGTATTGTAGTGTATTTTTGTAATAGTTTCATCTATGCTTTTGTTTTTGTTTATGCCTGTGTCTTCTAGAAAGCATCTGGGAAAGCATAAAGTGAGTGACGTCCTCATCTCCCCAATAGGTGAGATGACTAGCAATGCTGGCTATTAATGAAATATCGAAGGCTCCCCTATATTCCCGTTAATAAGGTTCAACATTGTTGGGCATGAGGTCTTACTCTTGGATGCTGTAGTCCACACGACCGTTCGAATTCAAGGCACGCACTTTGGCGTCCTCGAATTTCAGCCTCCGGTCCTGGTTAGTGTCGGCATCGGGGTCTGGACTCTCGCCATGATGGACACTCCTGCTTTTTTGGAAACCATCGTAAAGGGTTTCCAAATCGGATTCAATCAATGTCTGATAGTGATCATCGGATCCATCGGACCCATGCTGAACTGAGCCTGACTGTGACCGTCTATGGGTTGATTCATCGCCTGGTTTACCAGAAGAGCGAGTAGCCGACAAGGCGTCATCGCCATTCAGACCCAAGCTGCGATTCAACAAACTGCTTGCGACACCCGTGGTAAAATTTGTCCACAGAGATCCCACACTTTGGCCCATGCGGCTACCGAGAATAGATAGACTTTGACCCGAGGTCGTCCAGAGGCTTTTCTTCACCGAGGGTAGAGGCTGGGGCTTCAGGGTTGCCATCGCTGGAGATATAAGAGGCTCAACCCGGTAGCTTACTGGGTCAGAGGGATGGAAGATATTGTAGAGATCTCGACACTTCGGCGTTGAGATGATACCAGGATTGTCGCTGAGCGCATGTCCAGGGCCACGCGGGTCCAAGTCAATCTCAACATCCAGAGCATTTTTGCGACTTCGGGGGCCCAAGGCAGGATTTCCACCAATCGTCTTACCCTTCAGCATTTGAAAGAGTGCAATGGGGGATCCCAGACAAAAAAATTCTTCGCAATCAAAATCAAATGTACTTGAAGCCTTGGGGGTTGAGTCGTCGCTCTCTTGGGTCATTCCTTTGGAGGCACCATTCTGACCAGTATTGGTTCCAGGTTGGTGACACAAGATGTCGAATAGAATCGCGCTTCCAAGCGAATGGCCGCAGAGACTGACTGATCCCTTAAAAGAAGGATTTTGCTTCCGGTACAGCCGGAGGATGCGATTGCATTCTTGGATGACAATATTGGAGATGTGTTCACAGTACCCGCTTTGGTACAGAAGTACATCCATAGCCAAATCTGAAATGAGGTTTCGAACAGCAGGTACACTTTCCAGTGTTATATCGGACAGGCTCGGGTAGGCATCTTCCTCGACAGCGTCTGCATCAGTGAGATCCAGTTCTTTTTTGTTCTGCCGAACCCCTCGGTAAGGAAAGTCTAGAAGGTGGCGCCAGCACCTGCTGAAATTAGCAAAAAATAAATGCCGAGCAAAGGGGCGAGTCTTACACAGGAAGCACTTGAACACGGCAATTCTTATCGCTGTCTGGGAGCGCTGAGTTCAACGCTTGAAGATCGGGCGAACCTTTGTAGACAGTTTTCAGCGTCTTGCGCAGCACATTTACATCGTGTATGAAATTGATGCTTTCCAGTCGTAAACCGAGTCGCTGGCCAATTCCATGGGTGACAAGAACTAGATGATCAACCTCGCGCTCTCTGTCCGCACTGTCCACTTCCCTCGACTCTTCCATCTCCTGTTCCTCTTGCTTACGAGCCTGTTCTTCGAGATCAGCTGGATTTTGCGGCTCGCCTGCAAGGGAGGACATCTGGCGCTCTAATGTTGATTTCGATCTACTTTCGTAGTTCTCGAATTTATCAGTAGAGGTGGACTTGAGGGTATCCGTGGCCTTTTCGGTCTTTTCTTTCAAGACGTCGTTCAAACCTCTGGCAGACTCGCCCAGTGGTTTTTGTTTTGAACCCTTTGCTTCTGGTGTCTCTTTTGGGCTTCCTAGGCTCGAAACCGCGAACCAACTTCGTCCCGGGAACACCCCCTAGCTTTTGATACACTGAAGTACTGAATCGTGACATGAAATCATCATTCATCAGCCAAGCCGTCGTGGAATCTTGATAACCGACTATCCTATTCATGTAAGCGCCAAAGAGACGATACTGCTGGGGCTCCACCGCAGGGCCAGTAGTGTTGGGATCATTCCCTGTGCCTCGGGGAGGAGAGTTCGGGTTGGTTGATTGAGGGGGTCTGGTATCTGGTTCATAGATGTTGAGTGGCACGCTTTTGGTCTGACCAGATCTATCTTCTTCGTTTGTTTGTGAATTCTGTTCTGGTGACTGAGATCTCCATGGACACAGTTTGATATAGCCTTCTTCGAGCTGGGTAGCGAGATTTTCTTCACATGGTTTTAAGCTAGATCCATCCTGAATGAACCACGTTCCACGACGGACTTCGTATACAGGGCCAATCCAATAGGTAGGACTCAGCTCTCGTTGTTTCACATCAACATTGAAAAGAAAATCCTCATTAACAGGCACTTTGGTCAATACCGGTTCGCTGTCGCTGGGCTGGTTTTGTTGGCGGGCATCTTCTATGTCTGAGAGTTTCTGAAACGTCGTCTCGATGGACTGCGAGTCTCTCCCTGGGAAAGGTATGAATTTCTTCGGCGATGGCAAGGGCTTTTGGTCTGCCTTTTTCTGCCCTATGATGGATGGTTTCCGCTTGGGCGAGTCTACTGCGTAGAACCACCTGACTTTCAAGGGAGGACAATCGGGAGGATAGCGTCGCAAGCTTAATCGATGCATGTGGGTCACCGTGTGGTCCTCCCCTTGCGATCGCTGCAGGACATCTGGTTTTTGGTGATCACCAGGCTGTGGTGTCGGGGTTGTGCTTCTTGGTGTACTCCATGGAGTGAGTGTCCCCAAAAACGACTTTTGCTCTGCACCCGCCATGGGGAGGAGCGCCCGCCGGAAGGCAGCGAAACGAACCAACGTGAGCAGCTGGGTTGGAGAACGGTGGAAGTGAAGGTGGTAAAGATGAACAAGATAAACCTAGAAAGAGAAAGAGAAACAAGAAATAGAGACGTGTCCAAAATGCGTCCAAAAAGCCGATAAGAGATGTTGGAGTTGCAAATGAACGGCAATGTTTGGAGATCGGAAATGATGTAATCCCGATTTTTAGGTATGCAATTACTGGTACAGTGGTGTTCCATGAGTATTTGACCTTGGGTACTTCGGCCGTGGGCCCACTTTGCAGGCCCACTTTTAATATTGCCAGGCAGAAACCTCGAAAATTCAATCCAATTTAATAGCTAGTATGCCAACCTTCATATTTAATAACATCAGCAACTCTATGAGGCATAGTATCAGATAGATGCTTAAACATCTCAATATCTAGCCCCTCCCAAGCTTCCTGGGCAGCGTCGACTAGTAGATCAAGCGTAGTTTCGTTATTTGGGAGCTGTATTAGCTCAGGGTGTCGCTTCAGTATTTCGGCCTTTAGGAGCGCCCATAGGTTCTCAATTGGATTCAAATCGGGCGAATAGGGAGGCCACTCCATAATATCACATCCAAGCTCATTAAGAGTCCCCTGAATGATATAGGCAGTGTATACCGGTGCGTTATCTTGTTGAAAAATAGCATCTTGATCAATACTATTAAGAAGTATTGGAAGAACACGCCGGTAAAGCTCTTCAATAGTCCGAGATGAAACACCACCGCGGCGAGACTGAGGATCACCAAATAATGGAATTAAACCAGAGCGTCGCGGAAGACCAGAAAAGGCAGCCCAAAACATCTGTTTAATCTGTTTTCCACGGGTTGGTATCATTTGGACTTGATGGCCCTCTTCTTCGTGCTCCCAAAGCTGGTCCTTTGGACGGGTAAATGTCCATTCTCGACGCTGACCGATACCACGTTCAATAGTACACTCATCAGACCAATACACACGGGCCCAATCCTCAGAAGTGAAGTGCTCATATCTTCGCGCCCAAGTAAGGCGTTTTTCAGCAGATAGAGGTGTTAAAGTAGGCCGTTGCATTTTCCGCCACTTTCGAAGGCCTATTTCATGGGTCAGCCGCCAAATTGAGGTACGTTTAACCTTATAATCGACCTCTGCGAGTAGGTCTGCGACTAAGATTGACGGGTTTTGTTGTATAGTCTCATATATATGGTCACGGTCGTCTTCAGTAAGCTTCCTTGGCCCCCCTGAGCGTGCTAAAGACTGTTGCTTTTGACGCTTTGACTCTTGAGTAAGAGTATACTGAATAGTTGAGCGTGGAATATCTGGAAATCGCTTCTTTTTTATAGTTGTTGCACCCCAACCATTGGTACTATGCAGTTCACAGATCTTAGCTCTAGTAAGACAGTCAAGCTCTGGGCCTCTTTTCCCACGTATAGGAGGCATGTTTTAGTATATAGAATAAGAAAACAGTGCGAAAATCTCTTCAAAACGCGTTAATATACAGCGCATATGCTAGCGTGTTTAGGACGCGCGAGATTTAATATACTAATACAGTAGGCGGTCTAGAATGGCGGTCAGATCCTAAGGTGGGACCCGAAGTACCCAAGGTCAAATACTCATGGAACACCACTGTACAACGTTATACCCGGTATACCCGTGGCCATATCAACATTCATATCATTCATATATGTACGGAGTAATAATATACATATACATATACATATATATATATATATATATATATATGCAATAATATACATATACATATACATATATATATATATATATATATATATGCAATAATATATATTTCTATATTGCATTTTCAATGCCAATATCATCTCTAATTGGATATATATCACTAATTGGGTATATATCACTAATTGGGTAACAGGGAGAACTCCAACATAATTCCAAAGTATGGAAGAAGAACAAGTGGGTTAGGCAGATGATATACTTCATCACATACTAATATACATACTAATAAAATATATATGAGTTCACTAGTTAGCAGTTGGTTACCTAGTTATAGTTGGTTACCTAGTTAGTTAACTAGGTTATACTGTTAGGTAAGGTGTCGACGTCATTCGAAGAACTTTCCGAATACGAAAATACGAGAACGCGGCGTTACTGACATGATACTTACGTGCCCATACAAAAATACCCCTAGCGTTATGTACTCTGTATCGTGAACCAAGTACTTTCATTACGGTGTGGCTCATCCCCCCACCCCCCTCGGTTCGTGTATACCTGGCTGCCTCCCTGCACTGCCCACCTTTAGCACGGATCGGATTTCTTCTGATCATTCACTTTCTTTGCTTCTTCACAATTGATCTGTTCAGGGTGTAAATACCCCTTCCTCCTTTTTTTTGTCGAAACCCGGTCTTTCCCTGGGTGACCACCCCACCTATTTTGCCCCAGGGTTGTGATTCTGACAACATGAACGCCCTCAAGCTTCAGAAGTACATTTCTTCGCCATTCAATATAACAATATACTGACCATTGTGATTACTACAGGCGTTTTCCGCAGCTTGATCAAGGCGAGATCTTTTCGCTCCAGGATGCATTCAATAGATTGGACGTCGAAGACCGTGGCTATCTTGATGAATCCACCGCGATCAAAGCCGCCCAACAATCAGAACGCCAGCCATATGATGTGGTGCGCGCAGCATTGAAGGATGTGGAACTCGATAGCTCCCGGCGTGTGGAACTCGAAGATTATGTTGATGTAATACAACCTCCCCACTTCCCTTTCTCACCCCGCTGACATTAACGTCATGGCAGCTCGTTTCGAAGCTTCGGACGGCACCCTCCGAAGGTGCCCGCGCACCAACTACCCCCCGCGGCCGTGATCCAGGGGGCCGGCGCTGGTACCGGAGCATCTCGGCATGTCTCCAAGGGCAGTGTGGGCGGACGAATCCATGTCCAGGGATCATCTCCCAATGTCACGCATACGATCAACGAAGACGAACGAACCGAGTTCACGCGACACATCAATGCCGTCCTAGCGGGCGATGCGGACGTTGGCAACCTCCTACCTTTCCCCACCGATACATTCGAGATGTTTGATAAGTGCAAGGATGGTTTGGTCCTGGCAAAGTTGATCAACGACAGCGTACCAGACACCATTGATGAGCGTGTTTTGAATAAGGCTGGGAAGAAGATCAAGCAGCTGAATGCTTTCCACATGACCGAGAACAATAACATTGTTATTAACTCTGCCAAGGGTATCGGATGCTCGGTTGTTAACATTGGAAGCGGGGATATCATTGAAGTGCGAGAGCATCTCATCCTAGGTCTCATCTGGCAAATCATCCGCCGTGGTCTTCTTGGAAAGATTGATATTAAACTCCACCCGGAGCTTTATAGGCTTTTGGATGAAGATGAAACTCTGGAACAGTTCTTGCGCTTGCCTCCAGAGCAGATTCTCCTTCGTTGGTTCAACTATCATCTCAAGAATGCCAAGTGGGATAGACGGTATGCCCACTCCGAGCGAGAAAAACTAAGGAAAGACATGTGACTAACCGATCCAGGGTGACGAACTTCTCTACCGATGTCAAGGATGGCGAGAACTACACCGTTCTCCTTAACCAATTGGCACCCGATGTTTGCTCGCGTTCCCCCCTCCAAACTCGAGACTTGCTTGAGCGGGCTGAGCAGGTCCTCCAGAACGCCGATTCGCTGGACTGCCGCAAGTTCCTGACCCCAACCTCACTGGTTGCCGGAAATCCCAAACTGAACCTTGCCTTTGTCGCCAACCTGTTCAATACCCACCCAGGACTGGACCCGATCACGGAGGAGGAAAAGCTTGAAGTTGAAGACTTTGACGCTGAGGGTGAGCGAGAGGCCCGAGTCTTCACTCTATGGTTGAATTCGTTGGATGTTCAGCCTGCGGTCAACTCGCTCTTTGATGACCTACGCGATGGCTCTATTTTGTTGCAGGCATACGACAAGGTCATTCCCGGAAGCGTGAACTGGAGACATGTCAACAAGCCACCAGCGTCTGGTGGTGAATTGATGCGGTTCAAGGCCGTTGAAAATACCAATTATGCGATCGAACTTGGGAAGCACAATGGTTTCTCTCTTGTCGGCGTCCAGGGCGCTGATATCACTGATGGCCAACGAACTCTCACCCTCGGATTGGTGTGGCAGCTGATGCGCCGTGATATCACCAACACACTCTCTGCGCTGGCCCAACGGCTGGGCAAACGCGAAATTACTGACACTGAGATGATCCGCTGGGCCAATGACATGTCTAGCAGTGGCGGCAAATCTTCTACGATACGCAGCTTCAAAGACAAGTCTATTGGATCTGGAGTCTTCCTCCTTGATGTGCTCAACGGCATGAAGAGTAGCTATGTGGATTACGACTTGGTCACACCCGGTCGGACCGACGAAGAGGCTTATGCAAACGCTAAGCTTTCTATCAGTATCGCTAGAAAGATGGGTGCCACCATTTGGTTGGTCCCGGAGGACATCTGTCAAGTTCGGTCTCGTTTGGTTACTACATTCATTGGTAAGTTCATAACCACGTCGGTATGGCAGGAATTGCAGTTTCTAACAAATGATAGGTTCCCTTATGGCTACCCACGAGAAGATGTAAGGAATACAATTGTTATGGACGGCATTGCATATGTTTTTTTTTTTTTTTGTCTTCAATACATGTAAATCTGCCGCTTCTCAAGGCGAACCTAACCCAGTGTGGATTTCAATCAAGTTTTATTGTTACTATGCTAGATATTTACCTCCCCGATTGATTAGAGGTACTGATCAAACCATGCGACTGCCTGTAAAAAGGCAGACTCTTTAGCAAAGCGGATTGTCGGGTTGGTGATATCTGCACGGACAGCAAAGCCATGCTCAACGCCACTGAACAAGTTGATCTGGTACGGCTGGCCAGTTTTGGCGAGGATATCCTCGGATTCATGGCGCTTTGAGGCCGGGAAGATTGAGTCGGTTTCTATCAATATTTAGTCGAGACGCTGTGGCCGGATCATATGTAATGACTTACCAGCCGCAGCAATGGACAGCGGGCCTTGGATGGCTTTTAATTCTTCTTCGTCGACAAAACTGGGGTGTGCCACATAAGCAACATCGCAGAGGCCTGGCTGGAGCAGTCGGACAGCGTATTTTGCCTGTATCTGTCAACTCGGGCAACAGTAAAACATACACGGGACATGAACATACCCCAAAACAATATCCAACAGCCCCGACCCGCTCGCAGCCCATGTTGGACTTCATTTCCTTCAGTATCGCCTGGACCACAGGTTCTACACGACCTGGCAGATGACCCGGAGGACCTTTTAGCCAGTTCATCAGATCGAAGCTAGCGAGGCGGTTCTTCAACGGCACCGGATCACTGTGGAATAGGTCTGGCATGACGACCAAGTAACCATTTGCGGCTAGCTGGTCTGCAATAAGCTGTGCATTAATGAAGCGGTGACCGATTACATTGGTGAGTAGTAGGATGGCATGCTTGGTAGAACGCTCGGGGTGTGAAATGTAGACCTCGACTACGACCGTCAGCGAAACTGTAGTCTATCTCTAGAGGATCAGAAGTATGGACCGTCGCCGATTTGTTGGAGTTGACCCTTGGCCTCGCCTTCATGTTTAACGCCAATAGTGCAGCAGGCAGCTGGTGGATTGGATGCCATTTAGATATAGTTGAAGGAGTTGAGAGAGAGAGAGAGAGAGAGAGAGAGAGACCTCGGGAGTATAAGGGTCTGTGCTCCAGCAAAGTAAATAGACGCCATCTCTATGTCTTTGGTTGTACAACAATAAATCAATATGCATCAAATCAACATATAGGCGCATTGTAGCCCCATAAATTATGTGGATGTGGATGATTTCTTTACAGATGTTTATATGACCGTGGAATATCAGATCAAGCATAAGGTATTATTGAAACAGTGACTATCCATGGATATCTAGATACCATACCAAATCAAATGATCAGGTATAAGCTGCACAACAGACTTGGCCCCGTAAAAATGCCCAGCCAAAAGATGATATTGCCCAACAAACGGCGACCTCGCATCAGGCGAGTCCGGCTTAGGGCAACAAGCGGCAGTTGAGACATCTGAAGGATTAGTAGGTAACCTCGGAGCCGCCGAAAGATGCACAGCATGAGCAGTTCATGTACACATGCAGATAAGAGAAAAGTAATGAGACTGGCAGATACCCGTGACAAACGGTACTCGCTAATGGAGCCATGGTATACATGCCGAAACAAGAAGTTATGGACAGGACGGTTCCAATCCCGCGCGAACTGATCCCACGAGACCGAGTTCCACCAGTCGGAATAGAACCCCCGATCTGCAAACATGGTGATCTCGGCTACAGCATTGAGCTAGATGAACTTAGCAATAAATCAAGGTAGCAGACAGCTAGAGAGACTCACCACACATTCCCAGATCACGTAGAACGCCAGTAGATACTCCATCATGAACGGAAAAAGCAAGTCACCGAGAACCCAGGGGAATTCCCGGAGTCTCTGCTGTGCGGTCATTCCCTCCTCTTTCATACGAACCGTGTCCATTACCACCGGGTATATCCACGATTGTGAGACTGCGATCATAACCACAATGATGCCGAACGTGGCCAGTGTTTTCTCTGCGACATAGAGCCAATCGATCTTCTTCGTCCGCGGGTATTCAAGTTCATAGACCAATGTGGGCAGTGCCATAAAGTCGCAGATATTTCCTAATGTCAAGTTTCGAGGATAGTGATTATTGGTTAGTGAACACCGGCCCTTTAATCCCTCAGATAATACCTCGATCTCCTGCTCAAGAAGCTCTCTGAGGGATTTCACCTGGCTCGGTTCAAGTGGAATGCCGGTCTCGATCGTTCCAATAAGAGATAAAAGCTGGTCAGTTTCACAGGACCGAGAATAGTTTTGGAGTTCAGAAGAGCGTTGACTAAAGTCTTTCTTCTTGAGGTCTGTGATTTCGGCATTGAGCTCCGTATGAACTGCAGAAGAGTACCCCATTTTGGCAGAAGTAGGATGTCCTCTTTCTTTCCCTCTGGTTTGGCTAAGACTTGCTTTCAACATATTTCGTTTGTGATACATTTCCGATACTGCCCTCATTAGCACCTGCTCAATGACTGAATGGAAATTAACATACAGTAGCCATTGTAAGCTGCATAGCTGTGTTGCTTCATCAGCATAGCCAAGCAGTGTAATACGATAAAGACAGTGTGCGTCCACGGCCAATCACGATGGTATGCCCACCATATAACGACACCAAGGTATGTAGTTTGCCAGATCTGCATAGGTCAGCAATGTAATAGGGGAGTGGAGGGGGTCAAAACCTTTGAGACTAACATTCTGAAAGAGCCAACCGAGACCGTTCCAGCGAATATATCCCTTGAGTACCACTCGTTGTAGTATCAGACAAAACCCCGTAGACCAACAAAGAAGCAAGTCAGTCAGCCCGAGGACCATGACATCTTTATCCATCATGAGACGGATAATCTCATTCTTGCCCCATATGCTGCCATATGTTCTCCAATTGTTGGCAGCAAGCCTGAACAACATCAGAGTCACCCCCATCCAGAAGAGAACAAAAAAGCCATGAAACTGGGGGGCAGTGGTCCCCAGATTTTGAAAAGTACTCAGTTGCCGGGTGAATTTCAGGTCCTGAAACCTGAATTTCCGTTTTTCACCCGACCGATGTGAGAGATTGTGTTTGAGAATCTCTTGTAACAGCTCGGCATCGACTGCGGTGAGCAAGTATTGATCATCTTGCTCAGTCCTTGATTCTAGTTCTTCCATACTTCCATAACTGTGCATCATAGTAGATTCTTTCAAAATCTCAGGGTTTTTAGAGATCTGCAGTCTGTTTTGTTTTCCCTTGGCGCGTTAAAAATGCGGGCAAATGCGGCAAATGACGTCCTGTGGAGCTGCGGTTCCTGGATTTGGGGAGTATATACGGAGTAGAGAGATATGTAGAGTAGAAATTAGATTGAAATCAAAGAAGGTAAAGTATGAAGTAGAAGGTAGAAAGTAGAAAGTAGACCATGGAAATATATACATATATATAAAGTCATATATACACATATGTAAGCTCTAAGCTTCTGTGTCACCTGCAATTGTGTTTCTCCGCTTTAGATCTCTGCCCCCAGGTTTGGTCTCTTTCTCTCTCTGTCTACCACTCTATCTCTCTCTTCTTACCATCCTATACTATCAATTGACTCGTATTTCATTCAACAATGGGTACATCACAAATTCCCCAAGTTAGGGTTCCTGGCGAAACCCCCGAATCAACACAACCCGAACCCAATGCGACTGCCACTGCAAACCACAATTCCAACGAGGTAGAGATGGGAGGAACACAGGACACAAACCAAGCTGAACCCGAGCCTGCGCAACAAGATGCGACACTTCAAAATGTGCAGACAGAGCCAGAGCCACCTGCCACGGCAAAGAAGAACTCGGGGCTCAACTTTCTTGAGTGAGCATTCTTTTCCCAAACATTTGCGACACAATTCCTTTGTTTTTTTTGTGGTTCAAAATGGCTTCAACTGCCATTATCCCAATCATTACTCGCCAGCTCACAACCACTTCTAGCTTCCTGACTTCACCCATCGTTGAGATTATCGTTGGGCAAGGGGACGATGAGACTGTTATGACAGCTCATCAGTCCCTCTTGATGGAAGCGCCACTACTAGCCGAGTTGGTTGGAAAATTTCAAGCGTCCGGCCCGGTGAGTTCATTCGTTCATATCTGACACCAGGTAGATTTCTCATATTAATTGGTTGTGATTAATAGCGACGCATCACCCTGCCAGAAGAGAATGTCGATGCCTTCAGTTGCTTCCTTCAGTTCCAGTATACGCGTGATTACACCGTGGCTCAAACAGAAACACCCGGGGAAACAGCCGAAGACAAAAGTGGTGAGGAGTTGCTGCGCCATGCGCGCATCTACACTCTGGCAGAGAAGCTGGGCCTGCCAACGCTCCAGCGTATTGCCCATAGCAAGATTCATAAGGTTCAGAGCTCACCTAATGCGGAGCTTTCATATGCCCGTTACGTATACACTCATACACCAACAGCAGACACTACTATTCGGAAGCCTGTGGCAACTTACTGGGCGAACCAAGCCCACGTGCTGCGCCAGGAGGTTGGGGATGACTTTAGGAAGCTGTGCATTGAAGTGCCGGAGTTTTCCTTTGATGTTTTGAATATCATTATGGATCGCAAGTTGAAGAATGGATCGGTGGATGAGGTCAAAGGAAGTGCGCGCAAGCGTAGAAGAGACATCTAGTTATCACCAATCGTACAATCACATATCCGAGGATCAATGGCCTTCTTATCATAATTTGATATGAACGTCCTTGAACGGGCCGGGGGCAAAATCTTGTCAATAACCGCAGGGTGGCTGCTTTCTATAAGGCCAGGCTCTCCACCTCCTCGATGATTTTCGGGGCCGTGGTTAGATTCTCGGAACCATCCTTGGTGATGTGGATGTTGTCTTCGATGCGCACTCCTCCCACACTCCAATACCGCTCCAAGACCTCGGTATCGATGTACTTACCGGTCTCGGGCGCCTTCAAGATGGGATCGATGATGAAGCGACAGAAATAGATCTGGGAACATGATAAGAATTGGGCGTTGGGGAAGAGGAGACTCAAGGGGTAGTACTTACACCGGGCTCAACGGTGACCACA